TAAAGATAACATGACTAAACCCTTCAGTGATCATTTCACCACACGACAACAATAAAGATAACGTGACTAAACCCTTCAGTGGTCCTTTCACCACACGACAACAATAATGATAACATGACTAATTCCCTTCAGTGGTCCTTTCACCACACGACGACAATAATGATAACATAACTACACCCTTCAGTGGTCGCTTCACCACAAGACGACAATAAAGCTAACATGACTAGCCCCTTCAGTGGTCGCTTCACCACAGGACTACAATAAATGTAACGTGACTAAACCCTTCAGTGGTCGCTTCAGCCACAGGACAACAATAAGAATAACGTGACTAAACCCTTCAGTGGTCGCTTCACCACCCGACAACAATAAAGATAACGTGACTAAACCATTCAGTGGTCGCTTCACCACACGACAACAATAAAGCTAACATGACTAGCCCCTTCAGTGGTCGCTTCACCACAGGACAACATAAAGATAACGTGACTAATTCCCTTCAGTGGTCCTTTCACCACACGACAACAATAATAATAACATAACTAAACCCTTCAATTGTCGCTTCACCACAGGACAACAATAAAGATAACATGACTAAACCCTTCAGTGGTCGCTTCACCACACGACAACAATAAAGATAACATGACTAAACCCTTCAGTGGTCGCTTCACCACCCGACAAAAATAAAGATAACATGACTAAACCCTTCAGTGATAATTTCACCACACGACAACAATAAAGATAACGTGACTAATTCCCTTCGGTGGTCCATTCACCACACGACAACAATACAGATAATGTGACTAAACTCTTCGGTGGTCGCTTCACCACACGACAACAATAAATATAACATGACTAAACTCTTCAGTGGTCGCTTCACCACACGACAACAATAAAGATAACGTAAGTAAACCCTTCAATGATCATTTCACCACACGACAACAATAAAGATAACATGACTAAACCCTTCAGTGGTCCTTTCACCACACGACAACAATAAAGATAACGTGACTAAACCCTTCAGTGGTCGCTTCACCACAGTAAAACAATAAAGATAACATGACTAAACCCTTCAGTGGTCGCTTCACCACACGACAACAATAAAGCTAACATGACTAAACCCTTCAGTGATCATTTCACCACACGACAACAATAAAGATAACGTGACTAATTCCCTTCAGTGGTCCTTTCACCACACGACAACAATAATGATAACATAACTAAACCCGTCAGTGGTCGCTTCACCACAGGACAACAATAATGATAACGTGATTAAGAATAATGCTTAATTATTTAGCCAATTTTTACTTTTGTGGTAAGTTGGGCTTAAAGTATTTTTACGTTTTTTTAGTCTTATTGTAAGTTTACTGAAAACCTAAATTTTTCTATTAAAGATCTTGTGATTCTTGTTGTTTAAAAATTTCTCAAAATATCTGGGGAATTAACGACATTCAATTGTAGCTTATAAGATACGTGATGAATAAAATGTGTGATACATGTTTTTTCAAGTGGTTAGCATATAATACAAATATATATAGTAATCAAAGAAACATGTTGTTGATATGTTGGCGATAATAGCTGTTGTGTAAAGAAATACTGTGTTTGATGTACTGATATCATGAGATATCTGACGAACACTATAGTGTTAAAAAAGAAAAAAGATTAAATTTATATAAGAAATATAAAGGTAATAAAAACTAACACAATCATATTTATTATTTCAATTCTATAGGTTCCAACTTCAGTGTTGGGGAACTTCCTGGTCCACATTGAACTTGGATACAATATACATAAAAATCCGTATCACAACAACGTGCATGCTGCTGACGTCACTCAGACTATGCACTACATGCTGTGGAAGGCGGGGCTTGTGGTAAGTTTATGTAAATAGAACATGAGGTATATTTTACTTTGTCTATACATTACATACTGTGGCAGGAATGGCTAACAGTAAAGATTTATAAGATATTGTAACACGTTTTTTACTCTGTCTATACATTACATACTGTGGCAGGAAGGGCTAACGGTAAGGTTTGTTAAATATATTGTAACACGTTTTTTACTCTGTCTATACATTACATACTGTGGCAGGAAGGGCTAACAGTAAGGTTTGTTACATATATTGTAACACGTTTTTTACTCTGCCTATACATTACATACTGTGGCAGGAAGGGCTAACGGTAAGGTTTGTTAAATATATTGTAACACGTGTTTTTCTTTGTCTATACATTACATACTGTGGCAGGAAGGGCTAACAGTGATGTTTGTTAAATATATTGTAACACGTTTTTTACTCTGTCTATACATTACATACTATGGCAGGAATGGCTAACACTGATGTTTGTTAAATATATTATAACACGTTCTTTACTCTGTCTATACATTTCATACTGTAGCAGGAAGGGCTAACAGTAAGGTTTGTTAAATATATTGTAACACGTTTTTTACTCTGTCTGTACATTACATACTGTGGCAGGAATGGCTAACAGTGATGTTTGTTAAATATGTTGTAACACGTTTTTTACTCTGTTTATACATTTCATACTGTGGCAGGAAGGGCTAACAGTAAGGTTTGTTAAATATATTGTAACACGTTTTTACCCTGTCTATACATTACATACTGTGGCAGGAAGGGCTAACAGTAAGGTTTGTTAAAGATATTGTAACACGTGTTTTTCTTTGTCTATACATTACATACTGTGACAGGAAGGACTAACAGTGATGTTTGCTAAACATATTGTAACACGTTTTTTACTCTGTCTATACATTACATACTGTGGCAGGAAGAGCTAACAGTAAGGTTTGTTAAATATATTGTAACACGTTGTTTGTCTTTGTCTGTACATTACATACTGTGACAGGAAGGGCTAGCAGTAAGGTTTGTTAAAGATATTTTAACACTTGTTTTTATTGTCTGTACATTACATACTGTGACAGGAAGGGCTAACAGTAAGGTTTGTTAAAGATATTGTAACACGTTTTTTACTCTGTCTATACATTACATACTGTGACAGGAAGGGCTAACAGTAAGGTTTGTTAAATATGTTGTAACACGTGTTTTTCTTTGTCTATACATTACATACTGTGACAGGAAGGACTAACAGTGATGTTTGTTAAACATATTGTAACACTTTTTTTACTCATACTGTGGCAGGAAGGGCTAACAGTAAGGTTTGTTAAATATATTGTAACACGCTTTTTTACTCTGTCTATACATTACATACTGTGGCAGGAAGGGCTAACAGTAAGGTTTGTTAAATATATTGTAACACGTGTTTGTCTTTGTCTGTACATTACATACTGTGACAGGAAGGGCTAACAGTAAGGTTTGTTAAATATATTGTAACACGTGTTTTTCTTTGGCTATACATTAAATACTGTAGCAGGAAGGGCTAACAATAAGGTTTGTTAAAGATATTGTGACACGTGTTTGTCTTTGTCTGTACATTACATACTGTGGCAGGAAGGGCTAACAGTAAGGTTTGTTAAATATGTTGTAACACGTTTTTTACTCTGTCTGTACATTACATACTGTGGCAGGAAGGGCTAACAGTAAGGTTTGTTAAATATATTGTAACACGTTTTTTACTCTGTCTATACATTACATACTGTGGCAGGAAGGGCTAACAGTAAGGTTTGTTAAAGATATTGTAACATGTTTTATACTCTGTAAAAAATACTGTATGTGTACAACAACTATTGCAACATACCAATATCAGAAGAACAGAAAGGTATTTTAGTAGCCCACAGAAAGAATGATTGTTTTCCAGAACTGGCTCACAGACCTCGAGGTGTTTGCTTCTTTGTTCGCAGCTATAATTCACGATTTCGAACATACCGGAACTACTAACAACTTCCATATTATGTCGGGGTGAGTATCTCATGTAGAATATATTACAACCGGAACTACCAACATTTTCCACCTTATGTTATTATGAGTATCGCATATGGAATGTATTACAACCGGAACTATCAACATTTTCCACCTTATGTCATTATGAGTGTCACATATGGAATGTATTACAAGTTAAACTTTTATGTAACCCCCCCCCCCCAGTGGTACAGCGGAATGTCTGTGGACTTACAACGCTAGAAACCGAGTTTCGATACCCGTGATGGGCAGAGCACAGATAACCCCTTGTGTAGCTTTGTGCTTAACTTCAAACACACTTTATGTAACCTTAACTTAAGAAACAAAAACAGCTAATGTTTGATATTAAAATCAATGTTTCTAATTTTTTTTTATTAATCACAAAACTACACAATGAGCTAGCTCAGCTATGCCAACAGCGGATATCGAAACTCTAATTCTACCGTTATAAGCTATGACACCTGCTGCTGAGCCACTGGGAGCTGTTTTAGTTATCAGTACTTTTAGATATATTTTAAACAATCACTTCTGTTATTAATTTGAATTTCAAAATAAACCAGTCACTGTTTCAGTGATAGTCTATGATTTGTTATCGTTGATGTAAATCAAACGTTAGGAATAAAGATGACAGAAGATATCTCACATTTTCGTTTAAATTAATATTGTGTTTAGCTCGGATATGGCCCTTCTCTATAATGACCGGTCAGTGTTGGAAAACCATCACTTGAGTGCAGCATTCAATCTACTCAAAAAAGAAGATTGTAATATCCTTCAGAACTGCAGCAAAGAAGAGTTCAGGTTCGTACTTTTTAGAATATTTAATATCTCTCGAATTTCCGTAATAAATAAGTTGACTATATAAACAGCTATTGAAATAACAAAATTGTAAGAAGTTTTAGAAGAACGAGGAATTAGAGATGACTTCATTTTGTAAATAATTTATATGTGTGTGTGTTTAATGTTGTAAAATAGAAGTTAAATCACCTTCTTAACTTTAAGATAAACGTTAATTAATACACGTACTTTTCTATTATAAAAATTACTTTATATTACAAAATTATATCTTAATCTAGCCTAACATATTACTAGCCGAAAATACCAATTACAACAAGGGTATCCACGAACATGTTACTAGCCGAAAATATCAATTACAACAAGGGTATCCACGAACATATTACTAACCGAAAATACCAATTACAACAAGGGTATCCACGAACATATTACTAGCCGAAAATACCAATTACAACAAGGGTATCCACGAACATATTACTAACTGAAAATACAAATTACAACAAGGGTATCCACAAACATATTACTAACCGAAAATACCAATTACAACAAGGGTATCCACGAACATATTACTAGCCGAAAATACCAATTACAACAAGGGTATCCACGAACATATTACTAGCCAAAAATACCAATTACAACAAGGGTATCCACGAACATATTACTATCCGAAAATACCAATTACATCAAGGGTATCCACGAACATATTACTAACCGAAAATACCAATTACAACAAGGGTATCCACGAACATACTACTAACCGAAAATACCAATTACAACAAAGGTATCCACGAACATATTACTAACCGAACATACCAATTACAACAAGGGTATCCACGAACATATTACTAACCGAAAATATCAATTACAACAAGGGTATCCACGAACATATTACCAGTCGAAAATACCAATTACAACAAGGGTATCCACGAACATATTACTAGTCGAAAATACCAATTACAACAAGGGTATCCACGAACATATTACTAGCCGAAAATACCAATTACAACAAGGGTATCCACGAACATATTACTAACCGAAAATACCAATTACAACAAGGGTATCCACGAACATACTACTAACCGAAAATACAAATTACAACAAGGGTATCCACGAACATACTACTAACCGAAAATACCAATTACAACAAAGGTATCCACGAACATATTACTAACCGAACATACCAATTACAACAAGGGTATCCAAGCGACATGACAATTCACCCTGATCTTTTTCAGTATATTTAATTATCTACACTATTACAAGGTTGATTTTAAGTATTATAATGAACACACGTAGCTAGCTTTGTTCTGAAGTTATTCACCGTTCTACTTCAGTTTCTTGGAAAAGTTAAGTAAATATTTGTTGAGTATACAGTTGCCTTACTTAGGATAACTTAAAAAAGATTTGTTGAATATACAGTTGCCTTACCTAGTGTAACTTAAAAAAGATTTGTTGAGTGTATAGTTGCCTTACCTAGTGTAACTTAAAGAATATTTGTTGAGTGTACAGTTGCCTTACCTAGTGTAACTTATAGAAGAGTTGTTGAGTGTACAGTTGCCTTACCTAGTGTAACTTATAGAAGATTTGTTGAGTATACACTTGCCTTACTTAGTTTAACTTAAAGATGATTTGTTGAGTATACACTTGCCTTACTTAGTTTAACTTAAAGATGATTTGTTGAGTGTACAGTTGCCTTACTTAGTTTAACTTAAAGAAGATTTGTTGAGTATACAGTTGCCTTTCTTAGTTTAACTTAAAGAAGATTTGTTGAGTATACAGTTGCCTTTCTTAGTTTAACTTAAAGAAGATTTGTTGAGTATACAGTTGCCTTACTTAGTTTAACTTAAAGAAGAGGACTTAAAATGGAAGACGTTTCTTTGTGTAAGAGAAGCAGTTGTGAAAGTATTAAAAAAGTGAAAATAATAAAAATCTAAGCTATTATATTTCAATGTATACTAATTTTACTTTTAGTTGTAGTGAAACAAATATCTTTTGAAATTTGTATTAATTTTTCTTATGATGATGGAAAATATAATCTTACGGTTTTTTTTAACCTCCATGTCTGTCCTTATTTACGTCTAAAATCTCTGACAGTCCTTACCTCACACCTTTATATCAACCAGTCGGTACTAGGCAGTTCTCTGTCAGGCCTTACCACTTTACTCTGTATCATTCCATGCTAGTCAGCTAGATATTAATCGTTACCAGTCAGTTCTCTGTAAGTACTTACCAGTCAGTTCTCTGTCAGGCCCTACCACTTAATTATGTATCATTCCATGCTAGTCAGCTCGATATTAATCGTTACCAGTCAGTTCTCTGTCAGGCCTTACCACTTAATTATGTATCATTCCATGCTAGTCAGCTCGATATTAATCGTTACCAGTCAGTTCTCTGTAAGTACTTACCAGTCAGTTCTCTGTCAGGCCTTACCACTTAACTTTGTATCATTCCATGATAGTCAATTCGATATTAATCCTTACCAGGCAGTTCTCTATCAAGCCTTACCACTTAACTCTGTATCATTCCATGATAGTCAATTCAATATTAATCCTTACCAGGCAGTTCTCTATCAAGCCTTACCACTTAACTCTGTATCATTTCATGCTAGTCAGCTCGATATTAATCCTTACCAGTCAGTTCTCTATCAAGCCTTACCACTTAACTCTGTATCATTCCATGATAGTCAATTCAATATTAATCCTTACCAGGCAGTTCTCTATCAAGCCTTACCACTTAACTCTGTATCATTTCATGATAGCCAATTCAATATTAATCCTTACCAGGCAGTTCTCTATCAAGCCTTACCACTTAACTCTGTATCATTTCATGATAGCCAATTCAATATTAAT